GCACGGCATGCTTTCTGCAACTTGTTCAACTGCAAGGCTGGATTTTGTGGACGACTCCATGCGCGGCAGCGAGCAGGGGGCAAAGGCAGGAGGCCAATAACATTTCAGTATGAAGATGAAGGCAGTAGCTTTGTATAACCTTGCGGCATTTTGTAATTGACAGATGCACTCGAACCCGTGGGCACGTTGATAAGCCAATTGAGGAGTACCTCGACATCAGAGATATCTCATTATTTAGCTTCGCAGCCGTGCATGTCATCCGTCGCTGAAGGCTGCGCGGAAAGCAATCCGTGTGATTATCCAGGTGGAGCCGGGAGCAGCTTGAGAAGGGGGCAGAAATCGAGCAGTCACGTGCTACCAGGGATACGTCAGTCAAAGTTCGAAGTTCTAAGTGTTTGATTTCTCAGACCAAGTCCATCCAGCTCAGTCTCTCAGAGAGGTGTGGGATCAGCTCGTGCTGGTCAGAAGTGTGGTGAGGCCATTGCTATCCTTATTGGTTTCTCCTGGGAGCACTGCTTTGACGCTGGGGTCGCCGATGTGTCCTTCATCACTCCACACAAGAGGAGCATCATCCTGCGGGACATCAGTGTTCGATGAGCACAAGTTAGCATGGTACTGATCAGGTTTGATTTTAGATTGCCAAGTGCCTTGAGGGGCTTGTGGATTGTGTGGTGTAGCATGGCGTGCACGTTGCCCTCGTTATTCCCTTAAACAAATCGGTTCTGTGAGTCAGGACCACGAAGTTCTTCATGGGCTTCCTGGCTAAAAGATAAAGAAGCATGAGCAACGGAATTTCTGGAGAAGCAAGGCAAAGCTTTGGTCAAGTCTCGGTCCTTTCATTGATGTTGAGAGGTGCACTGTGCACGAGACGGGGTTCTCAACAAGTCGTAGAATTCATGGCTGAGAGAAAGGCTTGACTGAATCCGAAAGCCGCGTTTGCCATTTTGTGTGGTGGTCTGAGTACGCTGGTGAGTACGCTAGAGTATGTCTGTGGTCTTATTCGCTAGTGTTTGATGGTCTTCTAGCTGAATGTTGTTTGCCACCTTGAGGTATCTTTGTGTGCATTTTCCTGGTGCCGGCGTGGAGGAGGTTGCTCGAGAGCGGGATGAGAGCTGAGATTCCACCGAAAAAACAGGTGGACAGCTGGCAAACAGGTGGACAGCTGCCCTCAAGGAATCGTTTCCTTTCAAGGTAATTGCTCAAAAGAATAGCTCACCGAATGTTCAGGCACTTCGGCTTGATGCATGTCAGGCACATCCTGACCAAAGTCTTGGCGTATGAAGATATGAAGAAGAACAGGGCGCATGCCACTGGGTTGCCTATGTCGCCATGATTTTTAAGCCCCAATTTATCAAGGGCGGCCCCAGAGGTCCTGTGAAAACCGAAGGTTCTGAGGATTCGGTTCTTGGTTTGCGCCAAACAAAGACCCATCGTGTGCCCACAACCACTGCAGTCCTTCTGCTGAGGCCAAGAAGAACTCGGTCCGAAGGTCGCCCCTTGGCCTGGTGATGTCAGGGATTCGGCTGACAAGCTCGGCCCCAGAGCAGCGGTGTATGTGGGGCAAACATTGCGGCCCAGAGGAGAAACCCCAAGTAGAGCCGGTGAGTAGCCCAAAGTTCAACAGCTCCCAAAACAAAATAGCTCAAGTGACAGTGACATGACTATATATACTGTAACTATATTATATATATATATAACTATATTATATATATAGTATATATATATATATAGACGAAATCTGTGGCACCAACGAAACTGGAGGGGACGGTGGCCACAAGCTGTGCACAAGCGCTCCAGATCTGCTGACCCGAGGGTCTTGATGAGAAAGCAAGAGTCCAAATACGAGTTGCTGGGCACCAAGGACGACGGGGGTTGTGTCCTTGATGAGACCACGGAATTCTGTGTTCTTGCGTTGAACGGTGTCCTTCAGAACAGAATTCAGGGCATCCTTCGGCTTCTGACGAAGTTCAGGACCCGATGGAAGCTCAAGTCACCAAAGTGTCCGCGGCAGACATGGAGACAGGGAGGGTGCCGAAGGATGCCTTCCTCAAGGTGGCGCAAGGTGACAAGGTGCGGGCTGTCGAGCTGAGTCGGGAGCGGGAGCTGCCGAGATCTGGTTCGTTCGATCTATTTCTGTTGCTCACCTATTCTAATTCTGAGAGAGTGCAAGTGCGAGCTTGGCATCTCAAACATCCTCAACGATTCGCAGGATCATCCACTCGTAGGTGGCACTGGTGGTTCAAAACAACCGTTTTTCCTTGACGAATCACTGCCTGTGCGGCCCTGGGGCCGACAGGCCGACAGAATCAACATGAATCAACAGGTCCATCCTCGTGGAATTTCAGGTTCGTGTCCCCTTTTCGCCTTCGCTTCTCGGGGTGTTTTGAAGCGTCGCCCTGTGCAGGTGATTGTGAAGTCCATGGAGCAGTCAGACTATGTGTGGGCGGAAATCGATGGGAAGGAAGGAATCCTTCCACGCAGCTGGCTGATGGCAGGAGAGTGTATGAGATCTGGATAGCCTGGGAGAAGGAAAGCGTGGGGACAGTGCCAGTAGCGGGGAACAACTGATTTTGAGCCTTTTTCCCTTCAGCTATCGTCGATGGAGAGTAGATGGCACAATCCTCAAAAGGTGGTTTATGTGGACCCCCCATTGTAAAATATTTTTGGGTGCCAGTGCCATCTACTCTGAAACCAATGTAAGTATTTGTGTAATACACCACCCCATCTGAATTGAACATCATCTTCAAAGGGAGGGATTATGGTCCTCAAGAGTCTACATTCATTATATAATGCGAATTGTTGGTCACTGCGCCAGACAGCACTGGCACTCCGCCAGTTGAGGGAACTGACGTTGAACTCTCTCGGCGGAGTCACGGAAGGAACGACCTCGGCTGAAGTATCGGCACCGAACGCCGATGATCCTGTCTTTCTGTCAACTCTAGTTGTCGTCGTTTTTTGAGGTTAGTATATAGACCATTTTGATGTGTGTTTGTGGACACCTCACCGCACCACAAGCCTTTGCCAGACACCCATTCGACCACAGGAGGGAAGGACTAGCAGCTAGCAGTGCCCTCAGCAGGCATGGTTAAGACAATCATAATGAGGCCGGCATTAGGTTAGACTGTGTTTTTCTTTTCTGACTTGTTACTAGTAGCTTCTTGCTACTAGTGACTAGTGGCGATGCCGTTACTAGTAGCGATGCACTTGTTACTAGGCAAATAGTTGACGGCCATGCATACAGACATGGACCATCCATCCGATGACGCCACTATACGGATTTGAGTCATGATTTTCGCTTGGGGTAGGTAGCTGATTGATGGGATGGACACCCTTGGCGTGCTTCAATGCATGCAATGTGAGTACTGCAGTTCTTGAGCACTGCGCTGCTAAGGATCACAAAGTTGAGGCGTTTTTTTTGCCCAGCTGCTGCATTCTCCTCGTGCACTTCGCAACAGTTAGCCGTTTGCACATTCCATTTGGTTGTGTCAGTTGGGCTGCAAATACTGTAAGTGGATTTCAGCGGATGCACCAGTTTGATGCCGAAAGAAGAGAGGAAAGCAGCTCCGCGACCCAAATAGCCCGCACGGGCATTGCGGGCCTTTGCCGCGGCCTCGGCCGCAGATTTTTTGCTTTTCACCGCAAGGACTAGCAACACCTCGAAGGTACCAATGGCAAAGTCCATTGCCTTTCGTGGGGACTCCAATCTCGCTGGGGCGCGCAACTCCAAATTGATTGCCCTCCGATGAGAACTATTGGAGTCAAATTTTGGGTTGACTTATTTTTGCAGATGTGTCACTTTTACTTCACCAGCGTGCCCAGCTTTGTGTGTTTGTGACTTGAATCTTAGACTAAACAACGCGGCGTCAAGTGCGTGTCTTTCGAAGGTGTTGCAGTAACGCTTAGTGAGTCTTTTTTGGGAGGTCATCCGAGCTCACCATACAATTGTCGTATCTGACGCAATCATGAACGCAGATCATGCTAGACATTTGACGAAGGGCACCGCTTCACCTGCGCGTTACGTTAAGCTCACTGGATGATTCCAGCACGCTCCTCGAAGCAGCTCAAAGAGCTGAAGCTTTGTTGTTTGTCGCCTGAAGCTCAGGGGTCCTTCCAACTACTGTTGTTTCTCGAGCCCCTCGGCTCCAGAGGTTCTAGCGCTGCTTCTGCTTTCTTCAGCTTTTCTGCTGACCTCTATTTTTCTCGTGCTGGACTTGAAGTGGCGGGACTGTGTGGCTGAGGTTGGTCTGCCAATTCTCTTTCCGCACAGTCATTTCTTTAAGAAGTTGTTTGCATGATCAGGACGGTCGGCCTCCAGGTTCCACCACTTCTCCTGGTCTCACTGGACGCCTTTGGATCCCGTGGATGCTGCGCGGACGGAAGGGAGATCAAATGAGGTTGTGCCAAGCAGCTGCAGTTTTACAGGGAAGCAGCTCTCACGCAAGGGTAAGCAAACCTCATATACAGTAGGTCTCTATTGAACATTTTTTTTTCAAATATAGGACGGCAGTCTTAATTTTCGGTGTCAACTGGCATAGGTGAATGAAACAAGTCGATGGTGGTGACCGTTATGTAGATGATGGTGATGAGTATCATTTAGTGCCAATTGGCATGCAGGAAGAGCACATGCCATCTTCTTCCCTGCTTGAAAAGTCACATTTTCTCTCAACAAGATCCTTTAAAAGGCACATCGGCTCAAACGGCTGAGAAGATGTCTAAAGACTGGCTAAGTCGGGAAGGGAGTTGGACGCATTCGTCCGACTCCATCGAGAACATGTCCGACGTCTCTTCGGCCGCTTGGATGCAAAGAGATCATAAACAATCTTTGAGCGCTGTATTTGTTGTGTTCATAGACTCATTGATGATAAACTGTTTCCAAATGCTGGTGGCTGGGGCTAATATGGGTACGCCTTGGCGATCCCTTCATACAAGTCCCTAGATAGTTTGGCCCTGGCGTGTTGAAAGCATGAATGAAGAGGCAATACCTACGGCATTCCACGACGATGTTCATTTTGCACTCAGAGATGGTGGCCTCGGCTGAAATGCTTGAAGCGCCTAGTTTGAGCATTTGATGCACTTTGCAGCTGCTACCCCCCGGTGGACTTGCCGTAGAAGAAGTGCGGCAACACCGAAAGGTGTGTGTGGTGAAAGGCACCAAGCATATCCAAGCATCCTAATCAGTCCCTGTGGGCCGTTTCTGGTTTCTTTTTTTGCTACCTGTAATGCTTCTGTTGTGCAACCTTTTCAAACTCACCCATCCAACAAACTGTTCCCTGGGCCACCTTCGCTGCTTGTTGGTGCACGCGAGGCCAACTCGGACAGCAGCCTGGACCTGGCCAAGATGAGGGCCATGGGCTCCCACGTGCCGGGAGCTGAGGAAGACTCGAAACACGTGACGGGGGAACCAAATGTTTTTTCCCCCACATAGCGGGAGCTATTGGGGTTCTTACTTCAAGCATATGAAGAGGTGCTTGTGTGCGCTTTAAAGCCTGGGTGCTGGTGCCGCTGCAGGGTGCCGCTGCCAGATATGTGTGACCCTGTGCACTTTGGAGCTGCGCTGGTACCGCAGCCGGAGGCTGGTGCCGCTGCAGGGTGCTTGCTGCTGGAGGGTGCTGCGACGTGTCTTTGGCCTTGTGCGCTTTGAAGCCTGGGTGCTGGCACTGCTGGAGGGCGCTGCAAAAATGCGGCTGCAGCGCGCGGCTGCAGGGTGCTGCCCGCAGATATGTTTTTGCTGCCTGCGATCTGGGGCCTATGTTGGCGCATATGTTTCTCAATAAGCTATGGTTTCAGAGTAGGTGGCACTGGCGCCCCGAGATGCTTTAGACGGACGGGGGCCCAGGTGAACGAACGAATGGGTTCCGGATGCAATGTTGGCTACTTCACGATGTTCAGTTGCTAAGAGTAGGGTCCGGAGAAAACGATCCGCTTTGGGATGCTTTTGAGTGCTTACCCTGTACACATACAGTACTTGCATACTGTCATCTTGTGTGCTCTGGACTTGGATTGTGTGGTGTCCCCGTTTGGTGTGCAATGTTCATTTGTTTTCACCGTCTTCACCCTGCAGTTGAATCCTGGACCCACCTGTCAGGTATCGAATGAGGTACTTGCTGCTTCTGATAGTGCTTGGCGCACTCTCACATTTGCCGCAGCCTCGGGTGTATATAATTCTCGGAACCTATGGGTGCAGCCTCAGGTGTGTTGGGCTTTGAGGGGGAACAAACTGCTATCATGATCTTCTGTTGGGAGAAGGGGGGGGCAAAGTTGAGCAAAGGCTTGTTAGAAACTTGTTGGTGCCTTTTCAGGATTGGTCCTGACATCCCCTACATTGAGAACACGCCTCTCGTCGAAAAAGTCGCTTTGCAGAAGATGCTAGGCCTGGAAACTTCAAACATTTGTGAACTTGTCAGGGAACAATAGAAAGAGGGACATCTATAAGCTTCTCCGGAACACAGGCATCTATACCGGAGGCGTGTGCACAGTTGGACGTTTTCGTGAAGTTGGATAGGAACATGCGTGCCGCAAGAAGGAGCAACCCCTAAGCCGCCTAAACACTCGGGTGGATGATCAGAAAGTTTTCCCTGAAGACTTTAGACATTCAAGCTAAAAGAACATGAAGAGATCAAGAAAGATTCCCCAAATGAAGCTGAAATGGGACACGAACAGAACAGAGCAATCTGAAGAGACCAGCAACAGTACTGTAATTAGTTGGGCCCTAGAATGCTTTTTGCTTCAATAACAGGCATCCTTTTTGCTGCTTGGGCGTGGCTGCCCAGGTTTTTTGCCCAGGGCTTCGGTGGCGGCGACTGCGAGGCTGGGAGCTGAGTCGTGATCAGTGAGGGTCTTTCCAAGTGGCCTAACATCCCTTCTCAGAGACTATGGACCAAGTGGTGAAGACCTCTCTCAAGATGTTCTGTGAAAACATCATATGGAAGGTGTCTGATGTCAGAAGTATTCCTTCCTTAGTTCCTTTAGTTAGTTCCTATGGACCTGAGTTTGGCCTCCCCAACCCTTCTGGCGAATTCCGTGCGCTCTTGCCGGTGCCGAAGGCAGAGCCCAGCTCCAAACCCTGCCGGCGAGGGGCGGCGCGAGGGGCGGAGATCTTTGGCTGGTCCCACGCAGCAGCAGCCCGGTGGACATGTCACACGGGTGCAGTGCCACACGCCACACACTGGGGTTCACAAGAGAGAGAGAGAGAGAGGCTTTTTGATGTTCAGAATTTCGTGGGCAAGTGCTTTGATCACCATTAGTGACAGTTTTGGGTTGCTTTTGCCTTGTCACGTGTGGTATTCCAGCCCGGAGCACGCATCAATGGCTGCATCATTTCAAGTGCAAAGAAGTTTGTCGCCCCTACCTCTCGACACTAGACTGTCTATGCCGACGTTTGGATTCGTTGGCGCATGTAAAATGCCTTGCTTGAGGCAAATCTATTTGCGATGATGTTGGCAGTCACCTGGCTTACAGAGTGTGTTTAAATGCATCTCCCAAGAGGACATGTATTGTCCTTCGAGCTATATTTCACTTTTGCTGCAATCAGTTCTAACAGTCAGCAAGAAGCTGTTGCTTGTTCACTCTAAAAGGGTGGTTTTATCCAGGTTTGACATACGTATTCCCCGACGAGCTCTCAGATGTGTCAATCTTTCGATGCAGGGACCCAGGGATTTTACTAAACGACTCGCGGACTGTCCATGCCACAGCCCGGTTCAGGGCAGTAGGTCAAGCCATGAGCGAGACCTGAAGCTCGACACCTGCTGGGTCAGCCGAGGTCTTTCTGGGCTCTCTGAGCGACGCCGTGGGACGTCGCCCGCTCATCCGTGCTTGGGGCGTGGCGCAAGCGCTGCCGCTGCTCGCACTCTTCTTTCACCTGACCACAGGAATGCATCCGAAGTGACAAGTAGTCATGGACGTGTGGGAAAGATTTGGAAGCGTTTCCCGACATGAAGAGGCAAAGGCAAAGTTTAGGACGATTTGAGATGTGGAAGTTTCCACATATACTTCCTATTTCGCATGTTGGAAGCCTGGTTTTCTTCCAAACTGGTCGAACCGGCATCCGCGATCTCGGCCAGGATTTACCTTGTGGGCTTTTGTGGTTCTCAGACCAATGGCAAGGACCCCAGGGGCCCTTGCCTCGCATTTTCTGCTGTTCATGAGCCCAGCTCTGGGTCGGACGCTTTTTCAGCGCTTGGCCAGCGCGAATTCTTGCTTTTGGGGCCTGTGATGGCTGTGGCTGTGCCAGAATGTGCTATTGTAACGACAGTAGGCCGCCCAGTAGCGTCGATCGGATCCGATCGTAGCGGCGCTTCGCTTCCTCCACCTAGGTGGAGGCCTTCGACGTCAACGGTGTCGCCTGGCGAAAGGAAGAACATGTCTACCGAACAGGTGTCCACGAACAATGGTGCCGCCACTCATTTTTAGACTCTGGATGATATAAGATAAAGACACAAAACGATATACTACCCCCTCCAAATTGGATTTTAGCACCATGCTTAAAACACATGGATTAAAAAGGGGGTCATGTGTAGCCAACAAGATGTTGAAGAATGAAACATTTGAGCCTGGTCGCTTGGTACAGCATCTTTAGAGCTGGCTAGCTTTGTTTAATCCAACAGTCCCAGTGCCAGGTTTTCCTCGCCATCATGAGTGATGCCATCGAAGACCCTGAGGACGGCGAAGCGAGACACCTCCGAAAAGGTCAAATGCAGACATTGACCAACCAGTGATACGCCACCCACTCAGCTTGCTTATCCGTTTGGTGGCTGGGAGTGTATGAAATTGGCCACTCAAGTGCACGCGGTCACGGAGGCACTTCATAGCTTGAGGCAGGCTTGAGTCATGAGGGATGATTTTTCTGCAGGAACGGCCTGCTGCATTTGGCAGCTTCATGGCTTCCGTTATGTTGATCATTGGCATCGCAGCTTAGCTTGGACTGCTTTCACTGACAGTAGTCGATAGTGGAATCATATTATGAAAGGTCACTTGCAAGAAGGGAGCTTAGAAACAACTCGTCATTTGTTCATTAATCCGGATGCTGCATATATACTGTAAAGCTTCTGGAGCTAGTCACTCCTGCTTGCTGGGCCTTTCACCATGGGTGGAAGGTAGCCTACGTGGAAATCCCTTCGCTTTTTGCTATATATGTCGCTCACATACGAAAGAAACCGGAGATCAAAACCAGTGATCATCTTGTCGCGGAAAGGTCATGCCTTTTGGCTTTCTGTTGCCACGCTCGGTGGCCTTAGCAGTATCTCTTGGTGCGCTGTGCGTCGCTTGGAGCACTGTGCGCCGCTCGAGTTCATGGTGCTGCTGTCCATTTCTGTATGGACTGCAGAATCGACAGGAATCAATGAACCTCTCGAAATGCCCAGAGGTTGGAATGTAGCAATGTTGATGCTCAATCGCATGCAAGCAAAGTCAATGTGGTTCTGCACATCGTGAGGGCCGCTGCAGAGTTGATGAGGTCAAGCTGCTATATATTTTTCTGATCTTCCCTGAGACTGCCAAGCAAGCGAGCCTTTGGCGACACCTCAAATTCTCAATTTTACTTGCTAAATCTTGCTGAAGGTGTCCAGCACTGTGCGGTGAAAAAGACATCCCCTTGCTAAACCCAATCTTTGTTTAACTTACTTTAGGCTCACTTCCAATCGTACTCAACCACGCCCTTTCACTGTTGAAGCGGTGTGCGTGCAGTTCTGTTGCATTGCCAGGAAAGATTCCAAGCCTCAGCTTACCGCACAAGAAGCCAATCCGAAGCTCGGCAAGCTTGGACATGTTTCCACATATATGTTGGAGTCCAACAGCCACACAGGCAAGGTCCGCATTGTAAACCGAGCGGCAAGCGATCCAGGCTTCATACGGCAAAGCATGCCTTGGAAGTCCTTTCTAAGAATGTGCCTGAACTGCATGTCAGATCATCTCAGTCTACCTCTGTGTAGTGCAGTGTATATCATATACGCAATAGCCCTTTATGTTTGTTGTATATTTATGTGGAGTTGCATGTGTAACTATCATACATACCGCATATATGTATTCTCCAAGAAGAGTGGCATGCACGACCTGTGTATGCACCGTAGTTTTGAAGGTTCAGGGGCCTGGCCCTCTTTACACCTGACCTCCTTGTGGGGAGGGTGGGGAGAGCAGGTCTCAAGCGAGGAGGTCGAGGCCATCCTCCAAAGGACCCTACCCCTCCAAGGCTTGAGCCTAAAGGTGTTTCAGAGATGGAGGAGGAGAAGCGCAGGTTCCTGCAAAAGGGCGGGGGCGGCTCCCTTCAAGACTGGAATGGCCTCACGCAAGGGAACTTGCTCCCAGATCGCATGATGTGGTTAGATGCGAAAGATCATGATGATGCTTTGTGCTGTGCGGAGTCGGTCATGGGGTACAATGATGGAATATGACTGTTCTGATTGGAGTGGAAAAGATCAAGAGCGAGCTGTACTGTACCTGGTTTGAGATGAAAAGCATGAGGCGCCTTCTCTCAGAAATTCAAGGACAAGCTCTCCAAGATCCCGAGAGCAATGAGCACTTGATGGTTCCTTACCCCGATGGCCTGAGGCGGGTGTTGAACCAACACGGCCTGATTCACACAGGCCATCATCTTGCAACTTGCCCAGCGTTCTTCTTCGATGCCTCCTTTTGGCCTTCCTGCCAGATACCTGCTCAGAGCTTCATGCCCCGCTTCGACAGTTTTGCAGGGCGCCCCTTCGACAGCCACAGTTCGTCCTCTTTGCAGGTAGAGAGCGTTCGAAAAGCCCGTGGCGACTCAGAGGCATCACTTCCCCTTGACCCCCTTCGTGGCTAGAACTCCTCCGATCTTTCTTCCTTGCTCCATGCGAGGGCACCGCGCACTGTCTGGTATTGTTGCGGAAAAAATTGCAACAGCCACCGGAGGCTACACTGCTTTTGGTCCAGACGTTTGATCGCTTGCAACTGTGGCTGTGGCCAAGGTTGGCCAGACTCACTGTAGTGACGTGGAGATGTAGCCCTCCCTAGAGCCAGTCGTCCATCGTGTTCCTGCGTGACATCAAAGCAGCGCAACAAAATCAGCAGGCCAGTGAGAAAGTGATCATCTCAGAAAGCAGTGGAGCCCAGCGCCTTAGATCACATTGTCATCGCCTCTCGGCCGCGACCAGTCTCCGGCAGCCTTCCGGAACTTGTGGAAGGAGGTGGTGTCCCAGTTTCAACTATATCCAGCTTACGTCGGGGGTAGTAACTTCAGCGTATGCACAGGGCATGCTATACTTGACCCCGGCGAAAAAGGCGCATTTGAGGTCAAGAGGTGGGTGAACATTGTAGTGCATGCATTGTCCAAGAGGAGTGGCGTGCACGACCTGTGTGTCCACCGTAGCTTTGAAGGTCCCACTTCCTCCCCGTGCTCCTCTAAGCAGGGTAGCCTTTTTACTTCAGATTGACCTTGCCAAAAAGGCGTGTGTTTGTGGTCAAGAGGTGGGTGAACAGGGTTGTGGGCATATATATACATACACACACGCTATATATGTTTGTGCAGTATGTTGTTGGCATATGTGTATATATATATATACACATATATCTGTGTGTGTCTTTCAATAAACGCACAGAAAATGCAAGATAACACCAAGGTATACAACTGCTACTGTATCTATGCGTCATAGCTTTTTATGTATACTGTAGATCCATGTAGAGCTGCATGTGCGCAACCATGTAACAATGCGTGCGCATATAGGAGGCGGATGATAACACAAGAGTTTTGAATCTTAGTTCACGCTGTGATCGACGTTGGGTGCTTTAGCCAGACAGGGTTTCCAATTCCATGTGATCATGATAGCATCACTTGTGCTCTCCTCGCCCTTGTTTCCGCAGTTGATGGTTTTTTCTTTATGCTTTGTGTTCCTTCCGGATTTCTGTCAGCACACTTTCGACCACATTCTTCACGTCACATCGTGCACGTTCTCGTTAAACTGTTAAACTGGTTGCCAGTGGAGCAAGCGGAGCTGTAGCTGAGTTCTTTATCTCTCGCCTGGCAGTGGTGCTGGTGGTTTCTGGCTTGGCCGGCTCGGGCTACGCTATCGTCATGCCCCCGCTGCATGGCCCAGACAAGCTGTGAACAGCTATCGGGCAAGTTGTGGAGGACTCATCATTTGCTGCCCTTGGTGGCCTACCGTGCTATGCTGCTAATAGTCTCCTATTTGTTGAGGGTCATCTAAATGGGTCACTTGGAGGTTTCAAATGACACATTGGCCACCTGCGCAAGGTTTATGATGGGCTATTTGGGCGTTACTCGGAAGCAGAAACTTTGCTTGGCCGCAGCTGCCGGGGTGTCGGCTTTAGCTGCTTGGCTCTAAAGGCCGTTGGCTTCAAGCTGACCACACATGTAGCATTTAAGGGCACCCGTACCTGAAGTTGAAAAAGATCGAACTTCAATGATGTCAGCATGGCGTCTCAAGACGCTGCCAGCTTGTTGTCCTGGATTTTGTTTGTGGGTCGTACGTAGCGCTCTTCGAAAAGCCTCTCAAGACACCATCTGGCTGCGCCCCGACACCAAGACAGGGCCATGAGATGGTTTTGTGTAAAAAACACAACTTCTTGTCCTCACATCTCTTATCATCTCTTCACTTTGCTTTACGCTCATGAATGCTCAGAACGCATTTTTTTTTGCAGTTTTGAGGTGGGTTTTGGCCTTTTGATGGGCCCTTTGGTGGCTCGTTTCGGCCCAGTTCGTGTCCTGCGCATGAGCTTGGCAATTGCAGCGGCTTGGCTGGGTAGATGCTGGTGGATTCGGCGACAGGAGGAGTTTGGCAAGTGCCTTCTAAAACAATCAGTACCGCCTTCTCAGCTTGTTCCACGTCTCCTTGGTTTGCTGCAATTCGATGGCAGCCAGGCAGTTGTCCCGCTGGCGATTTCGGTGTGCCAGGACGTGGTTGTTTGGATTCAGAATGACGTAGTTGCTGGCTGGTAATGCAATGCATGCAAGACGACACAGAAACTCCTTCCCTTAACACTAGGCATGTTTTTTCACCGAACACGCATGCGACATCATGCAACACTTGGCATTTGCAATGCTTCTTACCTATGCGCGTTACCTGCCACAATGTATGAGGATTGCCTGCGCATGCGCTGTTCACTTGCGAGTGACCTTTTGCGTGCTTTTGGGGCGTCACACATGCATGGCTGGCTGATGCTGGCTGCTCCAGCGGTTCCTTTGCAAGATGTGATGCACGAAAACCTCATTGGGCATGGCTCCAAGTGTGTGGATTTTCTGCACTCAAGCTTAGTGTGTGGTAGGACCAGATGCAGCTCACCATCCTGGTCTTCTTTGTCGCAGGCCGCCTTGTGTTCATTGAGAGTCTTCGAAATGTCCTGCTAGGCTGGAGTGACGACAGTGTAAATTTTCTCTCTCGATGCATCCTCGTCGATGCTAGAATCGTGGGCCTCAAGAAACCAGCCTAAGAAATTTAAGTAATATCGGACGAATCAATTCCACAGGAAGTCACCTTTGCCAGGGCATGTGGAATCGTTTGCTTCAGCCAAGCATGCTGGAACACTCCCAGTCATCCCAGATGACCCAGATGCGTCCAGCGCTGTCAGCTCTTCAGGTCCTTTGATTATGTCCATTCCGTTGGTGTCAGCGCTGAGCCTTGGCAAGTAGAGGCATATTTTCATGGATTCAGCTTCAGAATCAGAGTTCCAAAGTCAATCCAAGAGTCTGTTGGTTGTTTCATGCCCACAACCAAGTCACCTAGATTGCGCGCAAGCAGATGACACTTGCACATGCAGAATATTTAGACGCTGATGTGCACATACGTAGGCGTGGTGACAGAGGTGTAGCGGACCATTTCGAAGTTTTGTTGTTTTTGGTGCACTCGGATCGTTGGACATGGTTCATGTGATTGTTAACAATGCTCTGGTGTTTGAGGGATGGAGTGCTCTGGAGAACAAGTTGCCATGCAAGACACTGCCTTTGCAAAAGGGACATAATCATTACGTCCCTCCGCGTTGTCATAGGTTGTTTTGTGGTAGCTTGGCCGGCCTGCCTGCAAGGTCAAACGTCCTGCAGCTGAATTGCTGACCGTGTCGGTACAGAACCGTTCACCGCAGCACATCACCCTGCGTCATGTGACCGTCGCCGACATCGCTTCAGGTGAACAACCACCATGCATCACTGTATTACAGCATGAATCACCACAACAGCTTCAAAGCAGATAGTCCCCTTTAGGGACCTTTGCCTTCAGCTCTGTATGCATCAATACCCACCTTCTTCGGTTTGGATGTGGTGCCTCAGGAAGAGCGCGCTGGTGAGTCCCTCGGAGCAAGGCTTGGTGCAAGGTGCCATTGCTTCCATTACCAAGGCGCGGTCTGCGCGGTCTGCGCGGTGCTTTCGAAGGGCCCGAGACCCAAACGAACGCCGCCCAGGGTGCTGCCACACTCGGCTTTGTTCTCTTCAGCGTCCTCTTTGGACTGACAAGCAATGATGGTGAAGAGCCTTTGCCGCACATGTGCGACACCGGTGAAAGATCGGCACAGGATGCCAGTAATATTCAGATTTGCTTCGTCTTCTCTTTGGGCTGGAAAAACAACACGCCAGCTTTATCAAAGGAGTGTTGCCGGTGGCATGGTAGGCATGGTGGGGGGCGTTCCAGGTTGGAGGCGTGGCAGCAGTGCTGCCGGTCTTCGGGACGATTGATGCTTGGTGTGAAGAAGGTTTCCGTTCCGACGGTGGTTGAGCGGTGTTTGTGGTTGAGAGAAAAACAGTCTCACATGAACTTGACGCAATCAGGGACATATCAAGAACTGGCTGCCCATCAATGTGAGCAACAGTGAAATCAGATGGTACCAACAGAAGCTAGGTCATATCTTCTCTGGATTCCAGTTCTTTCTTCTGTGCCAATGTGTCAGTACTGAACCCGGGTGTTCGCCCCGAAGTTTAGTGCTGCTATCAGTTGAATCCAACCGAAAAGAAACAGCAACCAAGGCTGCCATCAGTTCCATCGCTCTTCTGCTAGCCGGGGTCCGAGACACGTTCGTCGGGGAGCAGGAACTGAATCGCCTCGTGTGGAATGCGAGATGATAGATGCCAAAGATTGGGCTGTTTGGGAGCTTGAGTCGCCACCAGCACGTAGGACCGCCCTGGACAGCCCTGCATTGATTCATCAAATGTGGCACATCCTGCAATTCTATGCTGCACTCACCTAAACCAAAACCAACCAACCCGATAACACTCCCAGTGACTCCCTGTTTGATTCAACCACAACAACGGAGACGACCTTCGGTCGTCTTCGCTGAGCGTCGCCGCTGTCGGAACGTCGCCGCTGTCAGGCGTGCAGCCTGCCGAATCAGCCACCTCCGCCCCCGCAAGAGCCGGAGTGCTTCCTGGAACTGACGAGTGGCTCGGGTGCGAGGAGAAACTGAGAAAACCAAAAAAAGAAGACACGGAGGATGTATATATATATATATATGTAACAGGGCCCAGGCTGAAACACTGACAGGGCGGGGAAGACATGACGGTGTTTGGTTTCAGAAAGTGCCAAGGTACAAACATTCCACAAGTGGCCTATGCCTGATCACATTGTGGACCTTGAGGCACGTCATGGTAAGATCTCATGCTATTCCCCCAGACTCCTTCTGCATGGTAAGTCTTGGAGACTCTTCTCAATTCAGTCCGCCCGGCCGTACTGCGAGCTCCCAGAAGCCGGCAGTGTGCTTTCAGGAAGGGGACGTGTAGGACACGTTCCAGCGCCGCAGAGCGAGCTCTTTTGATCGTTGCGTAGAGTGAGATGCAAAGCATCTCCACCTTTCTGATTGTTTCCTGTGGACGTGCGGGGCATCTAATGAGGTGCAGAAACACTGCAACCAAGCTCCACAGTAAGCTTCATGGTAATTTGCAATGCAGTTCTGGACTGCAACCAAGCCTTTGGCCTTTGATGAGCCAATGAGCTGGAACAGCTGAGCTTTCAGCTGATGATTCTGAACTGAGGAGGCGAGAAAACCTCCCAAAGACAAGCCAAAGAGAAAACTCGAACTTGGCTTCATTCGAAAGCTTTGTAGCTCAGTTGACAGCTGGAAAACCACGCGGAACCGAAGGGGGGCACTGAAAGGAGATTTCACCAATTTTCACCCTTTCAGCCAGCGAAAGTGTGGCACCCCACAAGTCTTCGCTGGGCAAGAGATGGTGCCGGTAACAGCTTCTAGGTTATCCCAACATATCCCAAGTTGAGGCTTAGAATATTGAAAGAGCATGCCGTTGAGAGCGACGAACCCGAGTCTGGACACTTACTGTATATTTACTCATTGGTGAGGTGTTTGTTTGCTCGTCTGTGTGCCGAAATCAGACATACGTAAGTTCTACCAGCAAAATGTAGTGGCCGCCACTGAGATCCCTTTGGAGCTGGTTGCACGAGATTGCCCAAGGAGCATCGGCTTCTGGAAATAATACTGAGGCTTTGGCAACCCTAGAGTTCCCACGTTGCAGGAAAAGCAATGAAGTGCACGACCAAGTCAAGCGGAACCTGTTTGACTCATTCGCAGACAGACATGTGTGAACATACGCAGAACAGGAAAATGCATCCAGAACAGGTGAACAGACCTTAGCTGCACATCCCAGCTGCATAACTTCAATTGAATTACGACTCACCTATGCGACAGATGTAGTCCCCAAGCGACGGAGATGCTCCGGACACTGGGGCTTGTCCTTGCTGTTCTTGCGCCGTCCGAGCCCTCCACCAGTGTCACAAGTCCCTCACTGCCGGATGGTCACTCGGGACATCAGCTTGACGTGTTCCGACCGGTGTCTCCTGCTTTCTCGATCCGGTTTTTGCCCCCCCCCCGCAATGATGCCGATGCCACCGGCACGGACCTCGCTTCATGTCACTGAGGCCACGTCTTGTTTGGTGAGGTGGAGGCGAGTCCAAGAAGAGGGGCTTCCATAGCTTTTTTCTTGGGGCACGACTCCAACATTGCAATCAGCCAGAACGGACGCGTACAGTGCGTCTTGGAGCTGGAACGGTTGTTCCGCACCCGTTACTACAGACCTCCGAGTGGCCTGGTTTGCTTCATGCTGCTTTTGTGATTGCCCATGCAGGGAAAGGTTACTTAAGGTGCCTCCATTGTCCAGGTTATTTGGATAGGTGATAGGGGCAACCACATTTGCCAGATACCAATTACTAATTCAAGGGATTATCTGCCCGACGACTCTGGCTGCAGGAGGTTGGGAGTGTGAGACTACTCATTGATCACTCCGGAGCTAGCCCGAGGTGTGACAACCTTTCGTTGTAGACAGGTGTCCTTCATTTGCTTTCGGAGCATATCAGCCACATAGGAGGAGCAGATCCTTTTTGAGCCCTAGGAAGTCAGGTTTGGTCACGGGTCATCCAGTCCTGGCTCACAGTGCGGTGGAGACTGGACTGGACGACCACCTTGTCAGCAAAGAGTTCAACCTCCTGGACACCACCTCACCTGGCAATAGGATGAAGTGGACTACCACCCAGGCAAAGACTCACCTGGTCAGGACTACCACCTAGGTAGGACTACCACTACCTCACCTGGTCAGTGGACTACCACCTAGGCAAAGAAATCCGACCTCGAGACGTAGCAAAAGTTTGGACTGACATCCCTTGGCCTAGGCGATACCTTGCAAAGCTGGGTCAGGAGCCTGCGCACGGCATTGGCAGCGATGCAAGAGGGGTGCATTTGTGAAGGCCCCTGCCCGAGGCAGAGCACTCGGTTGTTTGTTTGAGACATGAACTACCTTTAAGAACACGTCGCGTTTCCATGGTTTTGATAAAGCCATCGCGTTTCCAATTGAACAGGCTTGGCCTGATACGGCAGTTACGGCAGTTACGCCACGCCTTGACGTCTTCGGTGCCAGGCGCTTCAAGCTTGGCATCACTGTTTGGGGTATTGACGCCACGTTTGAAGACTTTGTCCCATCAACAGTGCAGGGCTTGATGCTCAGCCATTGCTGGCAAGATTTTTGTTGGTGGGGGTGTGAAGCAAGCTGAACAAAAAGCACCAACCACGATCCTTTTGGGAGGGTGTCTTAGAGGGTGCACCTCAGGATGTTTGAGGAATGCGTGGGGCCCGAGGGGGGCAAGCGATTGAGAAAGCTTGCGACCAACAGTAGTGACTGGCGTTTTCCTGAGTGGTCTGAGTTGGTGACTTTTGAGGGTTGATTGGTTCAATGATGGATGAATCCTTCTTGAAGGTATCACTTGGTGTCCATGAAAATTGGACCTCCGTGAACATGTGGCACGTTTCCGGGCCATTCGCATCAGCGAGGCTAGAAGTTGAGGAATGGCAAGTGGTGAGCCACCACATGGCTCATGCAGCCCTGGCCTTCTACTCCTCACCTTTTCGTTCTGCCTTGGTGGTGTCTTATGATGGTGGAGGCGATGATGGGACCTTTAATGCTTACAGGGTCACTGGGCTGCAGCTACGTGCCGAGAGACAAACATGCAGGATGCTTGAGGGAACGTAGGGAAAGGGTTTTCTTGAGGACCTTCTTGGGGAAGAGGTCATGTTCCAATTCCCCTCTGAGGCTTCGCCTGAAGATGGTATCAAAGAGATTGCGCGTCTCAACTACAACTTTGGGGCTGCTCGATCTTTTCAAGATAAATTTCCCATGCAATCACCCTACAGAATTAGGACAGCTTCCCAACTGAACACCTGCACAAGCGACTTTTGATCCGTTTCTGAAAGATTCTGAAAGTGTAAGGACATGTACATGCACTTGGCGGAGTTATTGCCTGAAGTGACAGGCAAGAGCATCAGCCAGGTGTGCCGTCCTCCTCAGAAAGGAATGCCTTGGTCACGCGTGATGCTTGAAGATATGCGTGCCATCCTGTCACTGGCAGGGAAACTCATGGGCTATTCTGGAGTCAGGGCTCCTGACTCCAAACTCACAGTCACCGTCAAGGACCTCTTCAAGCTTTCTGGAAGATGGTGGGAAGAGCCTGGAGTAACAATCCCAAGTCAGCTACTGAAGACGGCCTGCAATTCCACCGAGGGTCAGCAGACTTTGGCGGCATCCATTCAAGAGGGGTTTGACGAACTGGCACAAAGCATCATTTTGACACTACTGCAGCTTGGTGACTATACTCCAAGCGGGCAGCGGATGAAGCACATGAACAATGAGTTAGTTCAGACCAACCATATATATATATATATTTGTCACGAAAGCTAGCACCAGCTAGCTGGAGTTGTCCTTGCTTTGGCAAGTGAGGGGCTGGAATCCTCGGGATCGCCGCATCACATGAAAACTTCATATGTAGGGGGGCCCCCCAACCCCCCCGTGGGTTCAACTCCCCCCTCGGACGCCTCTGGGACACCTCTCGGGCATCTCTTATGGCATCCACTTTGGCTTAACTCCTCCGGGATACGGTGCAACAGATTCAACAAGCTCACATGTTCATGACATCGACATCGATAGAAGAAACCAAACAAATCATGCAAGCAGCTTTGTTTTGCCTCTGGGACACCTCTTGGGCACCTCTTATGGCATCCACACTGGTTCAACTCCTCCGTGGAGGTTTTGGGATACGGTGCAACAGATTCAACAAGCTCACAGGTTCGTGAACACATCGGATGCATCGAACAGTGTGGCAAAGTCCAGCCACGCTTCCTTAATTATTGGGGACTTCAATTCTAAGGTTGGCTGTGTCATTGCTGTTTGTGTGTTTTACATGTTCACAACGTTTTACCTCATGAGCATTTGCCTCACTCCGCTTGATGTCCCACCAGTCCGGATGCACCCCTGCTAGCTTTCGTCACCTACCCTCGGCCTCAAGTATACACATATCACACATATATATATATATATACACATATACATATAGGTGTATATATATATATACATACAGAGTTTTGGCCGCGCCCAACCGCCACCTACAGGAAGCAAGTTGGCACTGAGAATGTTGATGGGGTTGTGCTCACTGGTGGCTGTGCGCTGAACGTCCTCACAAACCAGCTCCTTGGTTGACGCAACTCTTTGTGCGCCACAGGGAGCTTCCCTGTGTCCCAGTTTGTGTGAAGCAAACCCGGAGAATCTGCCCAATCCCCGTATCTTTGGGTGGGCTTTCATCTCCCTCCAGATCCTCTAGGACTACATTAGACTCTACATTAGACATCATGTGACATCATGTGATCATATTTTGACCCTTATGACCGTTTGGATGGGCTAAAACAGCGGTACAAAGAAGACTTCTGTCTGCTTGACATCTCCGATTCCTTAGGCATCTCCACGACCACTTTGAAACTTCGTGGCCTGGACGAGACCGGCTCCATGTGCCTGCAGCGCCCAATGACTGTGGCCTTTCTGTCGGGGGTCTTTGGGCCCATATCCCTCCGCCAGTCCAACAACCTTTGCCACCAAGAGCCAAGTTGGAACAAGTTGGTTGCCGTTTTGTTCAAGTATTGGACTTGAAGGCCATACTTGGGTTTCATAGTATTATGGATTGGATTCACATGTTGGGGTAGTGACCGTTTGGATCCATCTTGTTGGGTGTGTTGGTGAGAGCTCTGCCGTCAAGCAAGGCCATACTTGGGTTTCAGGCTTTGGGATGAAGACAAGCTCGAGAGCATCGCGCGAAAGCGAGGAGCATGCCGATTATCCAGCGCAGGAGGCGAGCAGGGTGTTATGTTGTTGTTCCATAATGTAAGGCTTGGATTCCGGCCTTCCACTTGGACAGAAACCTGCTCTGGAATCTGGAATATCCTTGGGTGCTCGACGCTAGTATGTGGATGTGCCAGGTGTCGAATACCTGGCAGATCTTCTCACAGGCAAACTGTCGTGGCATGGCAACGTGACCAAGCCTGTAGTCGCGGTGGTGCGCGGGCGACAGGCCAGTCCTCAGATTATTTTTGAACAAAACGTCAGCAGATTTTGTTGGAGAAAGAGCTTGCACGTCCGGAATCCACACATCGCTGCTTGCTCAGAAGACACTTTTTGATGCCATGTTGTATCGTATTGCACGGTTCTTACATGGGCAAGTCCAATGCCGTCAGCGACTAGTCGCTTCCGTCATGTCGACACCGTTCATCGCGACGCGCGATACGTTAAACTCCCCGCAGGAGTTTGGTCCCAGGGCCCTGGGCCACCGTTCTCTTCTGGCCTCACCGGACTCAGCAGAGATGAAGGAGCGAATGAACCGGCTGAAAGCAAGACAATGGTATCGGCCTGTGGCTCCTATGATTGCAGCTGAAGACTTGGTCAAGGCCATTTCTTTTTTCTCCACTTCGAATATAGGAGGGACCTTGTGTCCTCAGACTTGGTATAAATTTGAACATGCTACCTAATGATCGATAAAATAGATAAGGACACGACTAGACAGATGCTGTGTCACACTCCAAGTCCTTTCCTTCTGGTCCACTAAGTCCATTTTCCATCTATGAGTCAGCCATATTCTTCTTCTTCTTCTTCTTCTTGCGAGGCCTTCGGTCGGAACGTCGCATCCCCTTACATGTCCATGGCGCCCCGCGTCGTGGAGCCCATCCGAGCCTTGTACCCGGCACTGGCGCACGTGGACGGCACGGCCCGGCACCAATCCGTGGGAAAAGGCGATGAGCCGTGGATCCATGCGCTGCTGCTGGCCGTGGGGCGGCGCATTGGCTTGGCAGCCTTGATCAACACCAGCTTCAATACGATCCTTGGAAAAGCTCTTGAAGGGAGTTTTCCGAATGAAGGGAGAGAGAGAGAGAGATATGACATATATAGAGACTCCATGGGGTTGAACGATTTCTTGTTCGAAGGGTTCTACTTGGGGAGGTGGTGGGTGGGGTAAAAAGCACCAGAAAACACAGAATCACACCGAGTCGCACGCCTTTTTTTACGCAGGAAGGGCTTGCCGATCGTCAACAGCGTGAGGGAAAGCCTTCAGATGCTGGACACGCTGCCAGATCTAGACTTTGTACTTATTGAGGATTGGTTATTTCAAAAGAGAAGAGCCAGCAACAAAGCTGGCAGCACTCGTGCATGTGGATATGAAAAAGTGGGAGAACAGACTCCGGTGTGATCAATGGGACCGCTTGGGGTCCACAAAGCCAAAACAACAAAGATGGCCATGGCAAAGCATTACTTCCCTTTAGGTGACTGGCGCTTAGTAAGGAATGAGGGAATGGATCCCAGGAAATCGCCATTGAGAGGTCATTCTTTCATTCCCTACTAAATCGTACTAAGTGCCCAGTCTGTTTAGTTCTTTACAGGCCGCCTCCGAAAGATTCTTCTGCCATGTGCAATTGCGTAGTGCCTGCCCATGGAACATCCACCTTACCTCGACCCACCGTCGTTTTCATGGAATCGGACTCCGCCCGGAGGCCCAGGACGGCCATTCACCAGGCGCCCGTTCGGTGGTCCCGCGTCCCGCGTCCTGTGCAGAATACCCATGTGGTGTGACTTCCTCCACCGTGCTCGTCCTTGCCTGTTGGGATTGCTTGTAATTATTGCCAAGCCTGTCGAAACCTCCATGGGACATCTGTTGGAGACAAAGGTTTACCTTTATACATGGCAGCGCCGGTGGTGAGGCAGCGAAACCATGCTCTTTGAAA